TGTGTTCGAATTCCTTTTGGGCGTATAAAAAACAAGCATGAGTATTGTCCTAACGGAAACCAAAATACAAGGGGTATACCTGATTCGAACCCACAACCATTTGTCCACCCTCCTTAACATTCATAATGAGCCATTGACTTGCCTTTGCATGTGTTTGTGACGGGTGTTTCCAGTGGGACAGGATACGTTAATTTATTTCGATAATCATATCATAAACACACACTCATGATATACTCGGAATCCTTAGATCGACCCAGCTTTTAGCAGAGATTTCTTGTGAATAGGTAAAGGGATTTGTCGCCATTTTTTAAATACTTGAAATACTGCTCAAAGTTAAACCCAAACCACTCACCCACTGTGCTTGTCGTAAGAGGCGACTAACGGGATCGGGTGGTAAGGCTCGTTGACGTGGTTTATGCATGTCATCGTATCTTAACTGCGTGGATCGATCACTGGATTGTCTGGTCCAGACTCGATTATTTACAGACCGCCGTCATTTAGCTGGTATATTGCTGAGGGCGGCGTTAATCAACAAACAAACACTCACCCACTGATTCTGAATCTGATATTCTGAATCGAATGAACAATTGTGTTTCTGATGCCACCATTGCTAAATGCCAACATACCTACATTTTTTATATTGTGACGCTTGTTTCTAATACTTTCTTGAGTTCCAGACGCTTGTTGGCCTTGAAGAAGACAACCTATATCTATTTTTCTAAACGTATCGCTTTTCTGCAAAACAATTGCTAGTTTTTTAATGTTTCATGTATCGATATAGCCTAATGTTCATTGGTGTCGTATTAAAACACAGTCAGGTCTGCCCATAGAATTTAATCATCGCAGACGTGGTGGCAAAAGTACGAAACCAAGATATGCAACTGACTCTGATAGTCAATCTTCATCTGACAGAAGATGTGTTGCAATAATCGCCACAAAAGTTTATGTGGATATTACACTACAGGGCCACGTTCCTCAAAGCGATCTTAGCGCTACAATGATCGTAAGCCTATGTTAAAGTATAGGACTTACGATCACCTCAGCACTAAGATTGCTTTGAGGAACGGGGCCCTGATCATAGCTACGTACCTCTTCATCGCGGTACAGTTCCGGAAACTACGGAACGTTTGCGGACTGTGGTACGCTTGTGGAAATTACGCTGAACATTTCCGGAATCATCGTGACACGTGTTTCCTGAATAAAAACAGTTGGCTTGCGGAATATCCATATTGACCCAAGAAATTAGCGAAAACACCGAAAAAAGATGTAGTTCCTTATGGTTGTGAGTGAGTGAGTGAGTGAGTTGTGTTTAACGCCGATTTTAACAGTATTCCAGTTATATCAAGGCTTGTCAGCTTAATGTGGGAGGAAAGCCCGAAGTGATGCAGGTCTACCACGGTGAAACCCACGAGCACGGGTATGTTGCTGACAAACCTAGAAACATAATCGGGGCGAACCGGGATTCGAACCGACAATCATAGGCTTCTGGCGTGCCCAAGGGATGCAACTCTGCACAGCGAATCGCGGTGCCTTAGACGACTAGGCCTCCCGTGGTGCCTTGTGGTTGTGCATACGGGTAGCGGTATATTGGTGTCATCAATGGTGGCGCTACGATTGAACCCAGAAATTCCGGCCAAGTTCGGCAAGGGTGGAAACTGGAGTTTTACAGTCAGTTCACTTCCTTGCCTCAGGAAGATGTGACATCTCTTCTAAAGCAGGATACAGAAGTTAATTGCATGTACTTCTTTATTTCTATCACTCATAGACAATTATTCGATTCCCTACTTTGGTAAAACGTTGAAAACCATTGCTGGTGCCCCGCGACTTGCTCTTGCTGTAATATTACTTAAAACGACGTAGAAATTAACTCACTCACTCACTTATTATATACTTATTATACTTATAGGTATAGATGTACTAAGATGCCGTTGCCACTCCCGGGTTGTAATGCATCGGTAGTGTCGTAAATGGTGACAAACGGCATAGGGTGGTCAGGCTCACTGACTTGGTTGATGCCTGTCATCGTATACCAATTTTGTAGATCGATGCTCATGGTGTCAATCACTGGATTGTTTGGTCCAGACTCGATTATTTATAGACCGCCGTCATATAGCTGGACTATTGCTGAGTGCGGCGTTAAAGAACAAACAAACAAACAAACAATACATCTTTAGCCCTGTTTGTTCGTGTGAGGCTACAGCTTGTATCAGGTTGTCACAAAGGGTGTCTTTAATGATGGCGTGCCACCGTTCTCCCACGGCGTGGAGCATTGCTCATGCTATCAGCCACTCGTTTGACTGGTTCAAACTCGGATATTCGGAGCTGGGATATTGCCGAGTGCGCCTTTAAACCACAAAGAAAGAAAAACAGAAAAGAAAGAACATGAATTTAAATATCATGCGTTTTTACTTTAATCATGTTCCTATAAGTTGATAAAACGGTTTTATACCATTATACGTATACAGAACAATTTGTCGGAAACAAAAATTCTGAGTGTGCACCACGATCTGACTGGCTGAGAAACGTTGTTAAGTGGAATTTGAAGCCTGAACATTTTCTGAATTTCTCACATAATAAATACTTTTTATGAAATACATTTTTTCCTCATTCGAAAATATTTTGTTTTCAAAATGTTACGTCGCATTATTTTTCCTCAACTGTTCCGAATTCTTAAACATTCGATGCACACTTGGTACAAAATGGTATTTCTTAGCACCAGATATTTAACTCCTGGGCAAAATGTATAGGCTTGATAAATGAATTTGACCAAACATTTACTGTTCTTACTTGGCTCAAAACAGTCGTCACAAACACAAATTAAGTCCAAAACACAGCTATGATACCCGTATGATATCACAATCGAATAACCATTTCTTGTTTGTTTCACGTTTAGCCACCATCAAACATGGTGTATACTTTCTTTTGCCCGGCAGTTTACTAAATAACACCCGTTAGTCTGACGAAAAAACAATGTTCATCTCCGTTTTATATCAAATAATAAAAGGGATTTATTGTTCAAAAGACAAACATTCCGACGGTGAGGTGAAATGGGGTTTAACGTCTCGTCCAAGATTATTGCACTTATATAGTGACGTGCATGCACGTGTGTGTGTGTGTGTGTGGCTGCTTGTACTAGTCCAGACTGATGCCGATTTATAGCTCACTGAGAAAGCATGCCGCACTTAAACATGAATATCCCACTCTGACACGGTATACTGACTCCGAGCCGACCAGCCCCTGTTTTAGCCCCTTAATGCCGAGCGCCAGGCAGGGTAACAACAAGTACCATCTTTTAACGTCTTTTGGTATGACGCGGCCGGGATCGAACCCCGGACCTTCCGCTCTCCGGGCGGACGCTCTACCACTAGACCACGGAGGCGGTCACATTCCCACGGTAAAGAGAATCGGTACTCGTTCGTTGTTATAACCTTATTACGTTATTCTCTAAAGATTTATTAAACAGTTTGTGTTCTAGCTCTCAGTTCCGATAAATTCGATGTTTGAATCTGTTCAATATAACCGAATGCCTTTAAATCGAACACGTATGCGATAATACATTACATAACGCTTACCGTTATCTCATAAACGACAAGACCGCCTCCTAGGTCTAGTGGTAGAGCGTCCGCCCGGAGAGCGGAAGGTCCGGGGTTCGATCCCCGGCCGCGTCATACCAAAAGACGTTAAAAGATGGTACTTGTTGTTACCCTGTCTGGCGCTCGGCATTTAGGGGTTAAAGCAAGGACTGGTCGGCTCGGAGTCATTTTACTGTGTCTGAGTGGGGTATTCATGTTAAACTACGGCATGGTATCTTAGTGGGCTAGCACTTTAAATCGGCATCAGTCCGTTCTAGTACAAGCAGCCACACACACACACACACACACACACACACACACACACACGTGCATGCACGTCGCTATATAAGCGCAATAATCTTGGACGCGACGTTAAACCCAATTTCACCTCACCTCACCTCATAAATGACACATATCTCATTACGGAGCACAATTAACAATGTTGACACTTGATGATATAAATGTTAATGATTGACACAAAAGAACGCCCTGTTAAAGAAGAACACATACTCGGTGAGAAAATCTGACTGTTATTTGTATAGAAATGAAAATGAAAATTGTACTCGGTTACAACAGCGGAACTGCAATCCGTTCCATGCGCAAACACTTGGAGCCGTCATCTCACCAGAACTGACCCAAATGGCTGGGTTTTTTTCCCGGTTCCTCCCAGTATCGATACCTCCCACGTGCATGCACCAGTAAAACATGCAGTAAATGCACTATATAGCGGCTGCTTAATCGAGTTAACACTCGCTATGCATTGGATCTCAGAGGGGAATCGCACGGGTCTGTAACAACGACTTCTAACATGGTGTCACGACTATGGTGATGCTTGTGTTAATATGAGGCCAATATCGCTGTCCGGAGCTCTTTATAGCCATCTTGTCCCCACTGAATTGCTGTTGAGGCTGGTAATTGAATGACATCAAGGAGGGAATTGGGCTTTTTTTCCTGTTGAAAGCAATACCTACTATTTATTGTGATGCGTGATAATGTGATTAATCTCACTCGATCCCTTGTCGCTGATACTGGCACCATGGTGTCTGTACCACACTGCATCATTTCTGTCTGTTCTGACGTTGCTTGTTTTATCCCTTAAAAAATAGTGTTTGTTTGTTTGTTTGTTGTTTAACGCCGCACTGAGCGATATCCCAGCTATATGACGGCGGTCTGTAAATAATCAAGTCTGGACCAGACAATCCAGTGATTGACATCATGAGCATCGATCCACGTAATTGGGATACGATGACATGTATCAACCAAGTCAGTGAGTCTGACAATCCGATCCCGTTAGTCGCCTTTTACGACAAGCATAGTCACCTTTTACGGCAAGCATGGGTTGCTGAAGACCTATTCTAGCCCGGAATCTTCACGGGTCTACTTTAATAAAAGAGTTCCTATCTTAATGTAGTTCTGTGTTTGTTTCAGTGACAGTCAGTCAGGAGATGGGAACAGAAAACGACCGAGCCAATATAATCCTGTCTGCCCTCTGCGTGGAACAGAACGGACAGATTAGTCAAGAATGTTTAAATGGTAAATATAATGATGTTGTCGGATTTAATTTATAGTCATATTTAAAAATGAAACAAACCTTAACCCGATGAATCGAACACATTTTTAAAAGCAATATATAATTTCTATCAATTATAATGGCACAAACACGATACGACATGAAACATCAAACATGTAAAACGTCAATGCCAGTGAATAACAAGTCTCGATTATCCCTCGAAACAGATTCTATTGGGTGTCAAAGGCCGAATAGCGATGGAAATTATATGAGTGGAGCAATGAAAACAAGAGACGACACCTGGTGTTCGACAGGAAACCGTTCATTGGCCTCACTTAAGGCCGTTTCGACTAAGTGACAAGTACTCAATTAAAGTTAACTCATTAATAGCAACACCTTCAAATGTGTATATCTCGAACAGGGTTTATGTCGCAGAGTCTTGACACAACTCTTTATTAGAAATAGCAGTACGAATATATCGACTGACAAATTAATGTGACGAAACATTGACACTTTTAACACCTTATTGGGGCAGTATTTGAAAGTTAACAATTCATATTAGTATTGTGTTCGAGATCTCAATCATAAAAACTGACGATCAAAGAAAATATTTTTTTTATTTGAAGTTTACACGATATACAGCTATTCCAATGGACGAGAGGTAGGTCACATGTCCGCAGAAATTGACGTTCATAAGTGTATGAACGACACAATTTGACGTTCATACGTATTTTCACGAGCACGTGTTCTTGAAATGACGTAAACACTAACGGACTACTTCCACATTCCCGGGGAAACCCCTGGTAATTCCCTAGCGCGAATACATACAGACGCGTTCTTTCTGATCATTTAGACCGCCTCCGTGGTCTAGTGGTAGAGCGTCCGCCCGAAGAGCGTCATACCAAAAGACGTTAAAAGATGGTACTTGTTCTGACCCTGTCTGGCGCTCGGCATTAAGGGGCTAAAACAAGGACTGGTCGGCTCGGAGTCAGTATACTGTGTCTTAGTGGGGTATCCATGTCAAACTGCGGCTTGATATCTCAGTGTGCTAGCACTATAAATCGGCATCAGTCCGGACTAGTACAAGCAGCCACACACAGACATACACGTGTATGCACGTCGCTATATAAGCGCAATAATCTTGGACGCGACGTTAAACCCAATTTCACCTCACCTCTGATCATTTATACCCTTTAAACTTGAACTTAACCTGTCTATTTCTTTTACAGGATTGACATCACAGAATCTATACAGAACTTTATATGCCGCGTTGGCGTCCTCGCCGAGGTGAGTCTTATTAACCTACATACAGATCTATAGAGACACCATTGACGTTTATTTCATAACTTGAACACGTCGAATCGAAGTTTTTCACATTAAATTTAATCATGTTCTTTTGTTCATGTCGGCTGAACTAATTTCAGTGATGAAAAAAAAACTCCTCAAAGGGGAAGGGAAATATTCATTTAATTTCATCTTTTAATCATTTCACCCAATATTATTTGAAGGCCACACTTAGTTTATGCATGGGTCTTCAGCAACCCATGCTTGCCGTTAAAAGGCGACTATGCTTGTCGTAAGAGGCGACTAACGGGATCGGGTGGCCAGGCTTGCTGACTTGGTTGATGCATGTTATCGATCCAAATTGCGTGGATCGATGCTCATGATGTCAATCACTGGATTGTCTGGTCCAGACTCGATTATTTACAGACCGCCGTCATATAGCTGGAATATGGCTGAGTGCCGCGTTAAACAACAAAGAAAAAGAAACGGACGGAAAGTTTGTACAAAAAAGCAGTATTGCTGACGGCTTCTTTATGTGGGTGTGTGTCTTCGCTCATACTACTCTTTAAACTATTTCTATTTCGCTGAGATAAGAGGAGACTAACGGGATTGGGTGGTCAGGCTCGCCGACTTGGTTGATACATGTCATCGATCCCAATTGCGTGGATCGATGCTCATGATGTCAATCACTGGATTGTCTGGTCCAGACTCGATTATTTACAGACCGCCGTCATATAGCTGGAATATTGCTGAGTGCGGCGTTAAACAACAAACAAACAAACAAACCACACCAATGCAACCCACTACCAAGCCATGTCAATGCCTCGTCAACCTCCGACATCAATACCTACCATTTACCACAAATGACATCATTGCCTACTCAACTTAATCACGTCCGACCACGGGTTTGGAGGTCAGAGTTGAAATCCCACCTATATCACGGTACTCGGAAATCTAATGACCACTGCAAAATAATATGTATTTGTTTCGAAAGTAAGCTTCTCGTAAACGATTTAGCCACTGGTTGCGTTATGTTTGATCACATAAAGAAGCACCTAAAGTGCAATAATCTTCAACACGGTGGATGCTCTTGAAAGGACAATACCATGTTAAACATTCCCTGGACAAAGTCCAATACTGAGTAGTCGGAAATAACATCTAAATGTCTATAAATACCCAAACAGTTTCTTTTGAAAACTGATCACATAATGTTATTGTGAATGCAAATGTTTAGCCTATTAATGGCTTCACTCAAGGTGCCTCTACTAACACGCCACAGGATACGAAATCCGTTTCCGAATAAGAATGCAAACAAAATGGGATGTAGCTCCTTGCTTAAAGAGGATATGTGGCAAGCAAGGTTTGTTCTGAAACCCTTCCTCTTGTACACCGGGACCTCCTGCCTAATGTCAAGAGATGTCCAGCAGGTCACATTCCTTGTCTCCCAAATATGGATGGGCAAATCGCGATCCCAATACGCCCACAAGACCACGATATAATCTCCCGAGGGGGCAATTCATATTCCTGTAACCAGACCTTGTTATAGCTGGGCGCCTGTTGAAATTAGCTAGTGTTCTGTAGGTCTCTTAATGAGCTAGCGAAGGAGTTTTGAAGCTGTGTGAAGACCCTATAGGAAATCTGATACCTTTGGGGGTTCACGTCAAGACGCCGAAAGCCGTTAATTGATTGCCCTACCCTAGCAAAGCTAGGGGCCCAGTGGTTTAATTGCTTATTACTCACGGGTGGAATAGACTGATCGTCACTTGGGAGATTGGGCCCACTCTTGACAGTGCTCGACAGCGATACCTTCGATAGAAACGCTATAATTATACGATTAGAGCCTAATTTAATATAGACTGAATACCGTTGTAGCCAATTAAAGCACGATTGCTTTTTATGTGTCGGGTCCTTTCGATGTATTTTCGCACGCGAGCCGATATCTTAGAAATACAGGCTTCGGTAATATCAACTGAACTGCTCCAGTGTTAATCGCTTGAGGGGGAATGAGGAAGGTGTTTCATCATAATTGATGTTATTTCAGCACCGTGCGACACTTATCTTCTTGTTACACGCGAGGTGGATTATAATGCATCTCGTCTAACATACAGGAGACGTTATTTATTTCTATATGTCTTTCTACACATCAACGTTATGTTTAAGTTACGGGGCCCATTCTACGTCATCAGATATCAGGTGAATGCCTTGGCGATATATCAACCTCTGACACCGCGAGTCTCAACGGTGTTCTGAAAACATTGAATATAAAAGCATTTCTAATTATATAACCTCATTTACGCCATCCGTCATAGTCCGTTTCTTTTCTCTTCCAAAATACCTCCACACAAACATGATAATTACAGTAAATAATAAATAAGGACCGAAACTTCCAAGTTTAGATAGAAGATGAAAGAATATGTGACCAAATTAGAATCAGTTCGTGTTAAAGGTATATTGGACGGCGAGTGTTACATGTCAAGGTGAAAGGAAATAGAGAACATTCAGATTCAGATTCATCTATATTTATTTACTGAAATCCACCCAGGGCGGTACTCGAGAACAATATAAACTTAGCATTACATGATATAAATAGACCTATTTAAGACATGTACATTCAACGCATGTATAAATTAAGGGCGTTAGAACTCATTCATTAGTATAGTGGTAAAGTTTCTCAAGCGTCTATTAGGGGCGGTCGGGTAGCCGAGTGGTTAAAGCGTTCGCTCGTCACGCCGAAGACCCGGGTTCGAATCAAGACATGGGTACAATGTGTGACGCCCATTTGTGGTGTCCCCCGCCGTGATATTGCTTGAATATTGCTAAAAGCGGCGTAAAACCAAACTCGCTCACTCAAGCGTCTATTGCTGTTGTTAGAAATGTCGATTTATGTTTGTTTGTTTGTTGTTTAACATTCGTCAGCTACTACAGGAGAAGTGTAAACGTGGCATGTGCCATCTTCTCTAGCGAGTTTTTTTTCCATCTTCGGGTTTCTACAGGAAATCTATGATTTACAAGTTCTTAATTTAAATAGAGGAATGGATATATTATTGTTAAGTAAGATGTATTTGTCAAAGGAGAGGTCACGTTTTATATAGACTACATTTGAACTAGATATTATACTGCGTCGCTATTCTTAAAGCTACAAGGCACTACGGATTATCTGCCCTGGGTGAATGCATGCCGCTAATCCACAGTCTTTATGGAGGGACTTATATCATTCATTCACGAGGGTCAGATAATCCGTTATTCCGAATTTCGAGTAGGTTATTGTAAATTGACATTTTAAGAGAGAAACATCTAAAAAAAAACGTATGTAATGTCAACCCTACAGAGAGTGAGTGAAAATGGTTTTACGCTGATTTTAGCAATATTCCAGCAATATCATGGCGGGGGCCACTAGAAATGGGCTTCACACATTGTACCCATGTCGGGAATCGAACCCGGGTCTTCGGCGTGACGAGCGAACGCTTTAACCACTACGCTACCCCACCGCCCCTAATAGAGAAGTCAAGACAGCCCATTGACTTGGTTGATGCATGTCATCGCATCTCAGTTGCGTAGATCGATGCTCATGATACTAATAATTGGATTGTCCAGACACGATAATTTATATATGCCATGGGGGCACATTGGCACAAACTGGAACCAACGGTAGTCATTCAAAAAGACTTGGTTGGTTGGTTTGTTGTTTAACGCCGCAAATAGACTTGACAACAAGCATGAGTGAGTGAGTTGGGTTTCATGTCTCTTATTATTAGCAATATTCTGGCAATATCACTGCAGGGAAAAAACAATCTTCACATATGTGGGGAATCGAACTCGGATCCTCGGCGCGACGAGCGAACCCTTTAACCACTAGGCTACCCCACCCTGAACGAGGTGGGTCTTCCCCTTCCTAGTATTCTCACCAGAACCCCATTTACTCGATAATTGGTGTTAGGGCGGCATTGTAGCGACACAATCTGTATCGATAATACGGTCTAAAATGTCCTCTGAAATCCTTTTGTTAAAAAAGTAAGTTGTTCCAGTTATATCATGGCTAGTCGGCTTCGTGTGGTAGGAAAGGGATGTGGGTCTCACATGGGTATGGACCCGTAAAGACCCGGGGTAGAATAGGTCTTCAGCAACCCATGTTTGCCGTAAAATGCGACGATGCTAGTTGTAAGAGGCGACTAACAGGATCAGGTGGTCAGGCCTCGCTGACTTGGTTGATACATGTCATCGTATCCAAAATGCGTGGATCGATGCCTATGATTTAAATCACTGGATTTTTTACAGACCGCCGTCAAATAGCTGCAATATTGCTGAGTGCGGCGTTAAACAACAAACAAACAAATCAAACGGGTTTGGTGCTGACACATCTTGAAACATAATCAGCAAAGCGGGATTCGAAACCAATTGCTTGATCATATGTTTTCTAGGGGACGCAAAATCTGCGCGACTCCTCTTATCTGTGTGAACAATGTATGGGTGATGTAAGATTTGTTGCTTGTTGTTTAACGCCGCACTCCGTAATATTCCAGCTATATATCCACCCTATCCCGTTAGTCTTACATCAAACATAGTCGCCATTTATGGTAAGCGCTGTGTGAGCAATGTATGGGCGATGTAAGAGCGCTTAATATAAATGTTATAGCAATTGAAAAAATCTTTACACGTATATAGAGCATCGTGAACTTCAAATGTTGAAAGGAGGTATCAGACCAGTTGTTGGCTAATAGCATGTATTTCTTTCCGTTCGCAACGTAATTGAACATTTTCTTTGCCGTAAAGTGCGTTCTGTCATAATGGCTGTTTTCGTGAAAGTGAAATTATCAATTACGTTCCAAGGTAAAATCGATTTTGAGATCACTTAAAATCACAAATGCCGTAAAAAACCGTTCGTTTTACAACACCATTAATCCGAAGATAGCGACGACCTACTTCAAAGATCAGTTTAGATTAGTTTAAATCAGTGACATATTTATATCATCATGTATCAGGCCTGATTTCATAATTCACTGACGTCTCTACCACCGAATACTCAGACAAAAAATCATGTTCAAAGCTGATACATATCAGCGCTAAATATGATGGGATAATTGCAATCATTTATCATTCACGCGTATATTGGGTTTAGTATAAGTACATAGCTGTATATTAACACTATAACATGACAAAATTACAACTCTGATCAGGCTCTCCGGATAGTGATAATAGGAGTCGATACTGCATTGTAAGGCAGCCAGTAATATATTGTATCTATATCAAGACGGTGGCATTACAGATCTGTAATATTATGACAACGTTATCATAGGTCCACGTAGTCGAGCTGTGGACTTTATCTCTCGTGAAGATTCGGTTGGAATTGGTCTTCAGCAACACATCCCTGTCGTTTCTTTGTTTGTTGTTTAAAGCCGCGCTCTGCAATATTCCAGCTATAGAACGGCGGTCTGAAAATAATCGAGTCTGGACCAGACCATCCATTGATTGATATCATGAGCATCGTTCCACGCAATTGAGATACGATGACATGCATCAGTCAAGACAGCGGTCAAGACAACCCGATCCCATAGTCGCCTCTTATGACAAGCATGGGTTGCTGAAGACCTAATTACCTGAATATCAGAACACGCGTACCCCGTCACGGGCACGGTTTATATATGAAAATTCACCGTATCAAAAATATTTGAAGGAAACGATGATTAAAAATATTTGGAGAGAAACTGTGTTTCTCTGATAATTTTGCCGTAGTTTGGATATGTGACACCTGAGCATAGAACACAGGCATATATAGCAAATGATGATTGAAGTTATGACCACAGGAGACACCTCAGGGTATGTTTCTGTAATCATACTTTATACATGATAAATATAACAAAGAACTAGGTTTCTAAATGCGTTCAACAATTTGAAATTCGAATCCTTTTCAAAGCTAAAAATTTAGTATAAACTTAACATTATCAAAATATCAAGTTTCTAACATGAAAGGAAATCCCCGGGGATTAAAAACAGTGTTACAAAAGCAAGTATTCTTATGACGTTTATATAATGTAAATCTGTATGAATCAGTTACATATCGATAGGCGTCTTTTGACATTAGGTGAGAAACCCGTGAAGATCTGGGGTAGATAGGTTTTTAGCAACCCATGCTTGTCGTATAAGGCGACTATGCTTGTCGTAAGAGGCGATTAACGGGACCAGGTGGTCAGGCTCGCTGACTCGGTGGATGCATGTCATTAATACACTGAAGGTGTGGTGTTGACAAGGATCTGGCTATTGTGACACAAGCAATAAGGCAGTCAAGGTGTCTATGTGGAAGATAAAGCGATTATGACACAGTGGAGTACACACTGGGTAGGTCGATACCCTCGTCGAATGGTGTGTTAATGTAGGATAGGTCACCAGCAAACGGTGAATGCTGTAGGTGAAGTGAAATTGGATTTAACGTCGCGTCCAAGATTATTGCACTTATATAGCGACGTGCATGCAAGTGTATGTGTGTGTGTGGCTGCTTGTACTAGTCCGATTTATAGTGCTAGCTCACTGAGATACCATGCCGCAGTTTAACATGAATACCCCACTCAGACACAGTATACTGACTCCGAGCCGACCAGTCCTTGTTTTAGCCCCTTAATGCCGAGCGCCAGACAGGGTAACAACAAGTACCATCTTTTAACGTCTTTTGGTATGACGCGGCCGGGGATCAAACCCCGGACCTTCCGCTCTCCGGGCGGACGCTCTACCACTAGACCACGGAGGCGGCACGTGAATGCTGTAAATGGATCAAGTGGTCTGCGACTGCGTGTCTGACGGCGTTTAACATAGCTCATGATATCGAGACCCGTGACGATCCGGGGTAGAAAAGATCTTCAGCAACCAATACTTGGCGTAACAGGCGACTAACGGGATCGGGTGGTCAGGCTCGCTGACTTGGTAGATGCATGTCATCGTAAACCAATTGCGTGGATCGATGCTCATGATGTCAATCACTGGATTGTCCGGTCGAGACTCGATTATTTACAGACCGCCGTCATATAGCTGGAATATTGTCACCTTTTACAGCAAGCATGTGTTGCTGAAGACCTATTCTACATCGGAATCTTCACGGGTCGGCAATAAAGAGGATTCGCAGTGAAAGCAATGGTTGTCATAAGAAATCCAAGCATTGTATTGTGTTTAGTTATTCCCATGGTTGTTCGTCGAAGTCATGCATTCTGTTCCTGGTTGTAGTGCGGAAAGATTTCCACCCGTAATCCCTGCTATTGCGGTGGCTCATAAAGTATTTCCACTTATTATCACCGCGGTGAAAATAGTTTTGTGTATTTTCATTTTAGTTTTTGACATTTTCGCTTTTGTTTTTGACATTTTCAGTTTAGTTTTGGACCTTTTCGTTTTTTTTTTGACATTTCCATTTTAGTTTTTGACATTTTCGCTTCACATTTCAGCGATTCAATAGCTACTTGAAAGTACATTTTCCATGTTTTCGGTTGTTTTTAAACATGATTTATCACATGTTTGTGTGACAAATTGTGTTAATTTGCAAAAAGTTATGATAAAAGTAAGTGAAATATCAAAATATTGAAAAACAGACTCCATGTCCCTTATGGGCCACCGTACTGCTATAAACGTTGCCTTGGTTAGTGCAACCTAAACCTAACCCTAACCCCAACCCCCAAAAATGTTTTTTAATACTTTTAGTCAGGCATATGATTTAACAATGATCTAGAGACAAAGACTCGTTCCATTCCTCCCTCCCCAAATCCCGCGGAACCACTCGCCAAACAAGTTATCGCACGCACGCACGCACGCACGCACGTACGTATCATATCTACTTTATTATATTCTCTATTTTAGGTTGGGAGACGTTTCATCAAAATCCGCATCCAGGCCCGACAAGCTCGCTCTTCCTGCTAAACGGCGACGAGAAGATACATCCGGTTTCTATAGCAACTGGTGATTACAAAATCACCACGGAAGTGACGTCATGGACTCGCCACCTTTTTAAGTGATATCGCTGGTTTGAGCCTTGTCCGGAACCTACATGCCGCATGGACGAGACCGTGTCATTTCAGGAAAGAAATGATGCAATATTTTTCGGAATTTGAACACTTTCGAAACCCCGTTTTTCAACAGTGCCTGGGAGTGCCTCTCAAACAACTCTAATCCTAGGAGTGTCATGGACAATTTGGACATGCCTGAACCATTTTGTTAGGAAAGGATCACGTGTTTGTTTCCTTTTGCATAAGTGAATCTAAACCTTTAAATCAAACGTACATTCTACAAGGACAATATTAAAAGATAGCATTTATAGGATACAAGACCCCCTGTCTTCGGCTGTGTCATTAAGCGGACACATAATTCGTTTATGATCATAATATGACCCCAATTGTATTCAGTAACGTAAGAATAACTTATGACTCCTACAATTCTTATGTATCTTGTATAAGACATACTATACTGTATTCGTAAGTCATCCTCTTATTGAAGTATCCCGTTTAATTTTTCCCGTCTTTCATGGTCATGTCGGTCAGAGTGGAAACATAAAGGATTTCAAACCCAAAGCTGTGTTTGTTAGTGGTTTAGTCCAGGTAAAAAGAAGCGCCTCCGTGGTCTAGTGGATAGACGAACAGAAGGTCGGTGTTCGAACCCCTTGCCGCAGGGAACCTGGAGTACGGCATAAAGGAGTGAGTGATTTGGGTTTAACGCCGCTTTTAACAGTATTCCAGTTATATCACGGCGTGTCAGCTTAATGTGGGAGGAAAGCCCGAAGGGATGCAGGTCTTAGACGTTACCACTTCGGTGAAACCCACGAGCACGGGTATGGTGCTGACAAACCTAGAAACATAATCGGGGCGAATCGGGATACGAACCCACAATCACAGGTTTCTGGCGTGTCCAGGGGACGCAACTCTGCACAGCGAATCGCGGCGCCTTAGACGACTGGGCCACCCGTGCCCCCCGTGCCCCCCGGCATAAAGGAGACAAGCGTATAGTCGACGAAGTGATCTATATCCCCCGCCCATTTTAACACGCTATGGTCCCAAACCAGGTAACTGACCCAACATTTCTCTTAGCCCATGTCAAAATAGCTGCAATGGAAATTCTAAAATAAACATTTCTCAAACTCCTTAATATCAAATGGCACCAGTTCAGTATGTGCTTTACATATAGACGTGCAATGTTTGGCAAGGGAATATTTAACAGTTTATTTGTTATGCTCAATAAGTGAACCCACCCTATATTAAAACTAAAATCCAACTTGTCATGGAAACATAAACAATGAAAATAATAAAACAGAGACTGGTCGGCTCGGGGTAAAATGTTTGTTTGTTTGTTGTGTAGCGCCGCACTCAGCAATATTGCAGCTATATGACGGCGGTCTGTAAATAAACGAAACTGGACCAGTGAGTGACATGAGCATCAATCAACGCAATTGGTTGGTTGGTTGGTTGGTTGGTTGGTTGGTTGGTTTGTTGTTTAACGCCGCACTCAGCAATATTCCAGCTATATGGCGGCGGTTTGTAAATAATCGAGTCTGGACCAGAAATTCCAGTGATTGATATCATGAGCATCGGTCCACGCAATTGAGATACGATGACATGCATCAGTCAAGTCAGCGAGACTGACCACCCGATCCCGTTAGTCGCCATTTACGACAAGCATAGTCGCCTTTTACGGCAAGCATGGGTTGCTGAAGACCTATTCTACCCCGGATCTTCACGGGTCCCCACAATAGGGATACGATGACATGCATCAACCAAGTAAGCGTGCCTGACCACCCGATCCCGTCAGTCGGGACGCAAAGACACTAGGCAACGCATCAAAGTTTGCAGTTGTTTTTAGATATTTTGTCTCACTGAGGAAAATGTGGACATCATTTGGGTCTCTCAATATATTATCAATTGTCGACAACAAACAAATATGTTCACAGTTAAACATCAGAAATCATCATCGCCTGGGGGGGGGGGGGGGGGGGGGTGACGCCTTGGAAACGCCAGAATCCTAATTATGATTGTAATGTGGGTTCGATATTTTTACTTATGCTACGTACTTATCCAAAGTATAGCTAAGCAAGTAACAAGGTCACAGACCGTCCATATGGGATCGAACATAAGTCTTATTGCATGTAGAGCCTATTTTACCAGACACCGGTTGGCGTCGACCAAGAGTGTGACCACTAACCCAGGTCGACGCGTTGTTTAAAAACATAATAATAATTACATCAAGAGAAGTACGATAACCATTGGCTATCGTTAGAATATAACATGCTGCGTTCTCTTTGGACAATATATGCAATATACACTTATATGCTTTCATTTGAATGAACATGAACAAATTGACAGTGCTTGATCGACACTTATGCTCATCTAATCCATAGTGAAGCGGAGACGTTCCATGAAAGACAGGTGGCATGTCACTAGGGGTGTCTATTAGCAATCCTTAATTACAAATGGCGGACACCGTCACAAAGGAGGGACAGGTCAAGCTGTGACACTTATTACATCATAGTCGTTTATTGTATGACATCAGCGCGCCAACTGTGCTAGATTGGTTGGTTGGTTTGTTGTTTAACGCCGCACTCAGCAATATTCCAGCTATATGACGGCGGTCTATAAATATTCGAGTCTGGACCAGACAATCCAGTGACCAGTGATTAATGTCATGAGCATCGAGCCACGCAATTGGGATCGATGACATGCATCAACGACATCAGCGATCCTGACCACCCGATCCCGTTAGCCGCCTCTTACGACAAGCATGGTCACATATTGTCACGCTTGTGTTTTGGGGGACGGTAAATAGCCTGGTAAATATCGCCAAGGCTCGTATAATACACTAACACGTCCCATTTTAATTCTGGAAACCCAAAAGTCCAGAAACTCTACGCTCTTTGCCCAGTCTCGGTTAAAGGTATTTACAAAATTAAACATGCCGTTTTCATGGGAACATACCAAGGAAGAAAAAATGAAAAAAAAATTGTTTAAAAACTCAATATTTCGACTATGTCGCCCATGGGCCTGCCCATGGGCGAAGTCTGGCCCATGGGTAGGCCCATGGGCAGGCCCATGGGCGAGAATATGTTCCTTTACTTAAAACTCATGTTTTTGTTTCGCAAATACATTTAATGTATTTATTGAAGTATCATGACACAAAATTTAACTCATTTTAACTTAATTCAACTATTTTATAGCGATATTGAAATATTTCGCCCATGGGCGAGAAAAAGGTTTGGCCCATGGGCGAGAATATGTTCCTTTACTTAAAACTCATGATTTTGTTTCGCAAATACATTTAATGTATTTATTGAAGTATCATGACACAATATTTAACTAATTTTTACTTAATTCAACTATTTTACGGCGTTATTAAAATATTTCGCCCATGTTTTCGTCAGTTCTTTCAAGCATCAACTAACTGTTTGCAAAGTATATTGTATCATGTGAAATATACTTTATATTATATCATTACATTACTATTTAAAAAGGGCATTTGGTTGGATGTTTCCTTTAGTTCTACAAATTTCACCTGTTTTACATATTGTAGCGATCTTTAATGAACCCGGCCTTACCTCTCAAAACGTTTTGACAGTTTATCATACGAATTCATTTGCGTGTACTCCAATTCATTGGAGTTATTTTCCACAACATTAAATTTTAGTTAGTTTCTATTTCATTTCCCGTTTTATGTCCCGTTGATACATCACACTGGGCAATTACGTGACACTAGGTATGCAATATACAGGTACGCGTGCGCGTATTTTAATGAAAAAAACTATTCGTCTTTTATTGCATAACGTTTGGCTGAATATCTTACATTCTAACGAAATCTCGAAATAATTATTTCATTACATGCGGTTTCGAACTGACCAGTGGGAATTATGTTTCAATGCGATTGAGGAAAACGTGAGTGAATATTGTGACACTAAAGCAACTTTTAACTGCATTGTCACTTTTGGTATGAAAATGGTAACAGTTCAGAAAAAACAACAGCCTTCTTATGATAATTCTCATTAGTACGTTGTATCTAATTACAGTGTCGGCCTTATTTACAGGTGATTCTACAATACCTGCTCTCGGTCAATTACGATCTACCACACCACGCGTAAATAAACAGTTCTGCAGGTGTTGCTGTGGGCAAATACCTAGCCTGAAAATGTTTATTTTTTTTAGGATACATGTTTTACAAATGTTCGTTGATATGTGGATATATTAAGCACAAAGACAAAAAAAATGTTTATGAAAGATGAATTAGTGCCTTGATATATTCATCGAGATGTGTATCATCGTTTTATGGGGTCATTCAATAAACGTATGTTTGGAGGAGATATCAAAGGAGCCGCCCAATATACACAGTGTCGTCCGGTGAACTACCACCCCACCCTGTCCATTAGAGTTATGTAATCGGTACACAAATATATTTGATGCGGTGTCAGTGCGGAAGGAGTTTGAATTACGTCCGCCACTTGCCACAGAAATCCTCAAAGTATAGAAACAATAGACAAGGTCAATCCGTACTAATTACCTAGTGACGCACGTAACAACGACTGTCAATAGGGAAAATGGTGAAAACAAATTGAAATAGATTTTAATAAAACATTATTGTACTAAATAACTCGCAAAAGCGGTGCCTAAAATTGTTTGACCGTGTTATGTGTGTTGTAAACTGACGAATAGCAAGTAATTGTCATGCTGTACGCATGGTTCCATATACAAATTCAGTTATACAACCGGTATGAAACTGAGAACTGAGATACCAAGTACAACCTGCATTCACACACGGAAGCAATATACTTGTGTGTATGCCCTCTCCTCTACAAAATGTATCACTAAAGTATTTGCATTGTAATAAATATAGTAATGATAAAACTTGGTAATTTGGTAGGTCTCCTACAGATATGATTTTCAGTTTTTTTACACCTTTGATTGATACGGATTACGTACCTGTAGTCTAGTCACTGTCTCTAATGTATCTGCTTGTTAGAAATTTCAAATGTCTTGTTGTAGCATTGTTCCTAAAATACGGCAGTTTCTTTTATCGGGTATAAATAGTTGATTCGTCTTGTCACGCAGTCATTTTTACTTGATCGAATGATTTCCACAAAAAAATTACGGCAGAGAGTTTTGTATTTTATTATATTTTTAGAAGATTTTAGAAGATGCTTACATCACTGTATCTCAGAACGTAAAACTGATAACATTCAAACATGTAATTAGTACACAGTTAATTGTTACATATAATTTCCTGCATATTCCTTTTTGAACAAAAAGCCTACATGTATACTGATATCGGTGTCCACTGTTAAAAGGGTATTAGTGCAGTCAGCCATGGTAAATGGAGAGACAATAATAAGGTGATTAATTATAGTCTGTTGCAGAATATGCGGTATAAGTGTAGTCATTGATACATATACACATTACACATATACAGAAGAAAAACATGATATGATGCAGTGCAAGAACAAATTAAGATACGGTTTCTATTAAAAATAATTATACTATTTTGGATTTAATTAGCATGTTTAAATTTTCAGGCCAACACGGCTGAGATACAGCATCGGCAT